CTTTTTGCGGATACAGACTAACATGGCTGCTACTCTGAAATTTAACTAAGAACAGTTAACTTGGGTGCCGTAGAGAGACTTTTACTTAGACTAGTTCTATACTGTAACAGTTCTACAGAGAGAGAACAGACAGAGACTTGGTCCTAGGATAGCTGGACCATAATTTAACTCAACTTTCACAGGAGCATTATGGTGGAAAGAGTTCAGGAAGCTTCTTCCCAACAAGAGCACATGTGCAGAACCCAGGCAGAATGCTGACTTAGCGCTCAGAGATGGGTAAGGAGCTAATTATTTATTGCTCCTTGTATTACAGTAGCACCCAGAGGCCCCAATCCGGATGGAGGCCAACAGTGATGAAAAGTCCAGCCAGGAAGCTTGCAGCAGTACAAAGTTGTCATTACCTCGCCTCTGCTGGTGGGCCCCCCATGTAGCTAACACAGCTTCCCTTATGGGCAACACTGACTGATGAGGGAACCAGCGAGGGAGCCTGGGATGCATTGACTGAACAGTTTCCTCCACTGGCTCCTTTGGAACCTCTAACAGCAACTCAAGGCGCACCCAAAAAGAATCGTCTAGAGCTGGTGTTCTCACTTCCACCCTCACAAGGATGAATTCAACCTTCCTTTCACTGGAGCACAGTGGACCACGCTGGCCTAAGAGGTGCAATTTGCACCTCCCTGCACCAATGAGGGTGAACTTTGCCCACTATATAATTACTATTGGAAATCTGACTGCAGAAATTAAAGGAAAAACAAATCAAATAAGGTATTATACACAACAGCAAATATTGCACTATTTTATATTGCTAAGAATTGGTTTCAGAACAGAGCATATAGAAAATACTGATATTAAGTATAATGCAGCATACTATAATTTCACTATAACAAATGTTTTGCCTGGTCTGCTGCTCTCAAGAATTCCATCTTCAGCCTTCACACTTCTAGCAAACAGCTGCTCTCTCCAGGGCCTGTGACCCCTTCATGTATATTCTTCCTCTTGTGCATTTCTTTGTGCCCTCTAGTGCCTGCCTCTACCACCAGGTTTGATTTAACTTTTAGGTGCTGCTCTCCTAGACTGCTGTCCCGGCACTATATCAACAGTCAGATCTAATATAGATGTGTTATTTTCACCGATGCAACAATTCATTCTTTTTAACTCACTACTTTAAAATATGTTAATTTCCTCAACATTCAAAATTATAACCTCAGGCACTGACTTCAGTGGAAACAACCGCAGGCCCCTTATTTATGTAGGAGGACCTGTAAGC